CAAGTAATTTAACATTTTGGCAATAATTGATAGTCACAATTCGACAACTTCTTTCTAAAGAATTCCACACATATTAACAGAGAAAATAACTCACTTAGACGGAAAGTTCTTGAGAGTGCAACTATCGATTCTTACACAAATTCAAAAGCGCTTGAAAGTGCAATTATTGATTCTTGCCAAAATATTAACTTACACAGAAGGCTAACTACAAAATCTCCTAGACAACGTAACAAATGAAATAGAGAAAAAGAAATAACAATTATATGTAACTAACTGATCTTCAAAAAGTGACATTTGATTTTTTTTTAATCGAACTGGCTTATATGTTTTCTTACAAAACTCTAGGGCAATAATCATTTCAAAAGAAAATGAAAAAAAATAATCTAAATATAAGCATGTTTCTAACGTGACAAGATCTCTCCCCGTTTTGGGGACACTGATTTACTGACCGTTTCGTGTTCTTTCTGCTTGGGTTCAAGAGTGAACCGACCAAATGATTTTCAATAATTTTAAGAACGTAGAAATCAGAAATAACATAGTAATTTTATTTGACCTCACAAAGTTATTTTTTTCTTTCTTTTACAATATACAACCTCTTTCCGGAACGTATCTGATCGGCTTGAAAATCGCGAGAACCGACTTCATGCAGTCTTCATAGGATGTAACAACAAGTCAGGGGAAGTAGTCTAAGAATACATGAACAGACACTCATGTCACGGTTACTCAATCGCTTGCATTTAATTATGTGAAGTATCAGTTCACTGAACTCTTTTAGTGAAGTGATTGAGAATCAACTCCGTCATATGACAGTACTAAAAACTACTCTGCCTGAGCGTGGTGAGACTGCAATATACGAAATATTTCTATCTTTATGTAAGGTAGCTTAAATACATAGTTGATCACCAAGAATTAGTGACTAATTCTCCACACGCAAGCCACGAATCTGCCACTGGGTGGCATACCACTAGCGTTTACCGCAGATGGCCGGCTGTCGGATCGCCACCGTGTTTGTCCCGGCAGTGTTACTATTGGCGGACCACTAGAGGTCCACGGGTTCCCTCCGGTGGCTGTCACCGGAGGACAGCTGGCAAACCACTAGCGCCTTGCATGTAGAGTTGTGAAGATTTTTTTTCTTAATAGGTGAGCCCAGGCCGCATATCTAAGGTCAGAACAAGGGTAGATATCTATACAAATATCTTGGAATCAAAAGAGTATAAATGATATCAAATGAACTGAAGCAAAATGTGATTTGAATCTTCACTTGAGCAGCGTTTGCAAAAGTTTTCACGCTCTAACAACGGCACTTGATTTGTCGATTTCTCTTGGTCAGGAGTGACTTGACATTTCTTGTATTTAATGTACGGCAGCAGTTGCACCTTCAAACGCATAATCGTATCGAAGAATCAATTGCACATCAGGTAACTTATGCAATTATTCGCTTTAATGAGCTAAATTTGCGATTTGAAAACGACGGGGTGCAGCTAACATAATATGATCTCTTCATTAGACATTTTCTTTCAATCACATTTTATCATTTACATTTTCTTTATGCTTGAAGTAGTAGTTTTCTTTCTTTCTGAATCTTTTACCATTTGACTTTATCTTTGCTTCACATTCGTGATACATCTGATGGACTGGGTTGAGCACGTACAAAATAACTTTCGGGGCTTAATATTCAACTCTTGTGTCGATTCATTGAGTACAACCTGTTCATTGCAAAGTGACCTCTGCCAAATCAGATAGCGTTAGAGTGAAAGTTTATCAAATATACGCTGTCTCATTTTAAATGTCAGTTTCATTCTCACGCCGCTTTTAAGCATTTCTCTCCTTGCTTTGAAATATTCTATCACATACGGTTAATCATGCCTCTTTCTTTTCTTTTTCACTATCAAGCTTCTCTTTTTTTCTGTCTTTTTTTTCTTTATCGCTTTTTTCTTTTTTTTTCTTTTTCATTCTCTACTGTTTTGTCAGTCTTTTCATTTTTCTTTCTGAAATCCATTGTGTCGCTTTGCTCTCTTAAATGTAGATAGCAGCTCGAATTGTGAAACCAGAGAGCAGATTTCGATTTCCAATCCAGTTATTTACACTCACTTATACGCTTGTGAAATCCAAACTTCTGTTAGCTATGGATTAAATAGTAGGACTAATATTTGCAAAAATATATATTGTTATTCTAAAACAAAACAAAAAATGTTAACGCTATATTCTCTCTGTATAAAGATTTATTATATGTTTCGGCTTTAAATAACTTCACTCTTAATACCTCTCACCTGTATATTTCTTATTTCCTTTATCTTCGTCCATATATTAGGTTGGTGCATAATAATCAGTCATTTTTAAACAACATTTATTAGGAAAAAAGAAATATAGCATTTCAACAATAATATTTTTAAATGATTATTCCGGAGCGTATGATTATCGACACGCATTTTTATGACCGGAAAATAAAATATTTTTTATTAAAAAAGTAAACAAAACAGCAATTTTTATTAATAACACGCCTACAAAAATGCCTGATAATTATGCACTAACCCAATATTTTTAAAATGCTATAAATTTCATTTTTCTTCTTTCTTTTTTTTCTTCTTAATAATCACTGTTCATTTTATATCACCTTTCAAAGTCAGTTTTTCTTATTTATTATTTTTCCTTACCATTCATAACTTCTCATTATTTTTTCATTGCTATTATATTACCATTTAATTTTCATTTTTTTTTTCAGTTTTAACAATTTTCTTGGTATTTTCTTCTATCTGTTGCATTATCTTTATCCTTTCTCTGACAAATACCGCTTATTATGATACGTGCCAAAATTTGTAAATGCTTCTGTATTTTCTAAATTTTTCTAAGGGAAAATTTTAAATAAATTTCTATACAATTTTGAGTGTGTTAATATCATAACTCTATTAGTCAGCTATGCCGATAATATCCATAGATTCCAATCCGGTGCAAAAAAGAGGAACTCTTATTTGAAGAACCAAACACCGAAGAAGAATCATGGGTTATTTTCCTTTACTATATACAACGGAATTCGAACAGATAACACACTTAAATTGAATAAAATTTCAGTTCGAAATTCCATCATTTTAAAACAACAACATTCGAAATAATGCGACTATAAACAGCAACAGAACACGAGTTAGAATAAATCCGTGTATAATGACGATGATAATGTTGTCATCTTAGAAATTCAGAGAGAAATTATCAATCATCTTTTATCTCCTTGTCTAAAATTTCAAATTATTACAGTCGTGCGAGAAAAATTTTCCGAACAGGATTATTTGTAATTTATCTTTAAAGATCTCAGATAATGTATTTTCTATTAATTAAAATACGCGAATTAACCGAACATTATTTTGCGTAACGTCAAATCCAGCGTGTTGTAAAACTGAATTTAACATTGGTAGAATTCCTAAAAGTGAATAAATTTGCATTTGCAAGTCAATATGCATGTGATAAATTAATCAGGAGTAATCTCAAGTGTTTTATGATTATCTCCCTTTAGAGAACTCTTCCGTTTGAAGAGGATTATAAACAGTCACTACACTGGTAACAATTATCCTAAGCAGTATAAAGCCTCCTTAAGCCTACTCTTGCTCTCTTTTGTTATTGCAGATGCTGTCAAAAATAACCCTATTACGCTGAAAAATCAAAAATTACTAGTTGGTTTTGAGAAGGTATATATTTTTTAATAGGATGTCAGTGAACAAGTAATATTCATTTGAATTTTAGTTAATAAACATTTTGTCGACATAACATAAAATGAATAACATAATTCTCACCTCTCTAATATAGCTTCCTTGATACTGTTTTCTAAATATTCTGATGAACTTTCCTCCTTCGTACCTAGATTTGACGAAAGTGAGCGCAGTACTAGATTGGCAGAAAGGTCTCCTCAATTTACAGTTGAAATTGCTAGTTGTGACTAAGTTCTATGCCAACCGTTTTTTCTCTCACATTTCTCGTTTGTAAAATTCTCTTCTGTCTTCTTGCTTTCCAAAAGTTTAAATGCAATATCACTCGTCAGATGCAATCTCCTTAATTCATTTTCTTTCATTTTTCTCTTTCCCTAATAATACTTTTCACAGATTCTTTCACATTTAGTAATCTCTTATTTTTTTACTGAATTTATTACATTGTTTGTGGAGATTTCTTTTTAAAAAAAATGTTAAAATGTTACGAGATAAAATGATGGCAACTCCAATAAAATTGGTGTCTGGCAACGATTTTAGTATTACTTGTAGGATTTAGCTATCTATATATAAAATTATGTAACATCCATTAGGCAGTCCGCTTGTCAGGCTCTCTAAAATATCCCAGTATTGTCCGATTGAAGCCAGATTTTGTGGAGAAATGCAAACAGGTAAATGAGTACAAACTACAGTATTACATTTTTAATATAACTTTACGTAAGCTGCATAAACAAGCTGAAATCACTTCTTATCGAGCGGAAGCAACTCGTTTTTCACTACTTTAAGTGTTTTCGTAAATTTGAAAAATAACGATTTCTTTTAACAAGAATCCAGTTTCCAGTCTGCGAGAACTATAAATAAATCACGAAGCTAGACGCTTCAAAAAGTTCGAAGTTGGCTTGAGAAATAAATATTTATGCATAGACAGTTGTATGTTACATGCTCAAGAGTAAGAAAGCATCACAATTTATTCTTCGCTGTTAAAAAAATAAATAAATCTTAAAAATATTGTTTACAGAGAAGACGAAGATTATATTACTTTCGTGAGTGTAGACAATAAATACTGCGATGATTTCAAATTGGCAGAGTTAAGCGCCAATAGTTTTAAATACCTGATTTTCGTCCAGGGTTTGATTTCGGCGAAAGACGCCGAAATACGTCATTGGTTGCTCAACAAGCTTGAAAATGAGCCCAACGTTGCTGTACAGCAAGTCGCCGAAGATTGCAAACGTTTCGTAAGCGTCAGAGAGGATTCGAAAAACATCGAACGGAGTAGCGTTGCTCATATTAAAAAAGGAATACGCCAAAGAATGATTAAAAAGGGTCAACCAAAATATATTAAAGTTACTTTGCCGTCAAGACAATGTTTCTGCGTTGTCAATTATATTGGTATAGAGATTGTCCTTTTAAAGATAAAAAAAAATGATTTAATTGCGATAAAGTGGGACACAAAAGTTCCCACTGTAAGATGAAGTTCAAGATGAAAAAAAAGTTTTGCAAAAATTACCGAGTCTGATGAACCAGAATGTAGTAACATCAGAAAATATATTGAAGTAAAAATATGTAATGAAAATATACGGCTACAGAATGATTCGGTTTCAGACTTATCCATAATTAATTATCAAACATGGAAAAAAATGTGTTAGCCGACTTTGTTAAAAACGAACTGAATATCTAAAAGAGTAACTGGCGACTATATTAAGTTTATGGGCGAACTTATAACGAACGTGTCATTCAAAGGTAAAACGTTAAAACTTAAGGCGTATATTATGATGAATACGGATAATGTATTCGGGACTGAGTGGTTAGAACAGTTTCAACTTTGGGATATGACGATTAACTTATGTCAAAAACTCGAAAATTTGACTAACGAAGCGGAGAAGTTGAAAGGTGAACTTAAAAAAAATTCTCGACGTTTTCAGTGGAGGACTAGGAAAATGCACAAAAATGTTTACTGTGTTAGAGTTAAATCCAGACGTCAATCCAGTTTTTAAGAAAAAACTTACGTTCCATTTGCCTCGTTAAATCAAATTGACGAGGAGTCGAATCGACTTGAGGAAATGGGAGTCCTGGCAAAGGTTGTATATAGCGAATGGTCATCTCCCACAGTCTACATTAAAAAAAATTCTCCTCGCGTATAAACTTTTGAATTGCCATAAAAACACAATACTCATTGGATTTACCAAATAAATTATTCAATTTTTTTTCATTATTTAGTCTATTGTCAACACGTGAAATTCATGTCGAAATCTAAAAAAAAAAGAAAGAAATGTGATGTATAGATTTTTTTCAATGGAGTTGTTGCTGATTTTTTTTGTTTTTGTTTGAATAAAGTATTGTATGTTAATGAGAAAAAAAAAGACCCCATGCGGAGTCAAGCTGAAGAGTGGGGTGTTGTGGAGTCCTTCCGCTAATGCGGCTATTGTGGACTCTTCCACTTACAATAAAGTAGTCGGAAAGTAACCACGGGTGTATAGTGATATAGACTAAACTCTGGTCAACCGACACACACTTCCAAGTCGTGTAACACATTTCTTTTGTATTTATTGTTCAATACACTATTTATCTACAAACTCTTGTTTGGTTATTTCTTAACCAATTGCTTGGTCACAAAATTATTCATTCGCAAAGTAGGTTTTTTATCGAAGTATCTTTCCAAACAAATCTGTTTATTCAAATTTAATCGATTGGTTTGCGAAATTGTACATCCAATTTACAATACTTGCTATTCCCAAGCGGTTACCCATCTAGGTAATGACCAGGAACAATGTAGCTTAACTTGGGTGATATTATGCGAATCAGTGTTTCAGTGAATTCACACATAGATCAAAAGCGATGAGATGCCCCTATTCAGAATATGTATACATAACATAAATTTAAGTTACGTGAGAAATGAAATAATGTGTTCAGATGTGAACAATAGAAACATCATGTGAATTTCTGATTCGATTCAAAAATCTTCAATTTTCTGTAAATGGTGGATGAAATATTTCTTTTTCTAAATTTATAGCATTATTGTCCTGCTAGAGAAGTATTTTCCTGGATTTAGGCAAAATTAATCATATTTAAACCAAATCGTGTATTCGATTATAGGAGGCTGACTCCAAATCTCACTAGTTTTCTATAATATTAAATTATATTTCAGTTAAATGCTGCATCAACCTAAAGTTATTTCTGACTTTCATACAATGAATTTATTCAGATATATGCTAATATATTTTAACCAACCTTTTAGTTGTACAAGTTTCACAACAAGTAAAAGTGTGCATTTAACATTAACGCCGACTGTGTTAGATCATTGCAATCCAAATTCTACCATAAAATACAGCTTTGCCTCG